TAATCTTCAGACAGGGCATGAATTGTCTTGGTGATATAGAATATAATGAGATGGTGAGGCTCCAAAACCTATTTTAATATAACATACTCACACCCTGTATTATGAAAGTGATATTTTCCCATAAGTACATGTCAGATCATTCAAAGTCTAATTTCCTATGATCTATCAATAAGACTAAATTATTGAAACCAACCTACTACCTACCAAATATTTTAAGGTACATTGAAAGTACAGTATTGTTATGATATGGACATTGGAGCACAGATCTAGATATCACAGTTTTTATGTTTCAAATTACACTAGAATGTTAATGTCATAACATTATTATCTGAGTTAGGTATAATAATCTGTTATAATATGGTGCTATAACTATTAAGAATGGAAGAAAAAAATCAAAGTTAACATTTTACTATACCAGAAATGTACTTCCGATAATAGTTACCTCTTCCCACACTTTAGATTTAACCTGACAAAAATGTTTCACTTCTCTTCCTATCTAAGCATTGATGTGATTCTTACCTTGCTTGCTCCAGCCTTTATACCCCACTATATTACCCTTAGAAATTTAAATATTGTGATTTTCTCTATCTATGTCTCACACTTTCGCTTTATTCCAACAAAAATGTTTCTCTTATCTTCCCATCTAAGCGTTGATATGAATCTTGCCTCACATGCTCCAGCCTTTATACCCCACTATATTGCTCTTAGAAATTTAAATCTTGTGATTTTATCCACCTATGTCAATGCAGATCCTATACGAGATCCATGTATAAGCTCCCCATTATTACTTCCTATTCATTTTTTTGAGACAGTCGAAATCAGTAGATCTGAAACTGGACATATTGTAGGGAGGAAGGGTGGAAGAGTGAAGGAAGATAAGTATTGCTGGAAATACATTTTACGTATACGAAAACATTAACTTCCAAAACACACTTAACTTCACTCACACTTTAGCTAGAATCCCATATTGACAAGGTGGAGGGGCGAGTGAGGGCAAGATCCACACAGAAAGGATCTACATAGAGGTGTGCAAAAATGAGATACAATAATAGCACACCAGTGGTGTCTGCACTACTTCTGGAAAAGGTATGCTCTTTGCCTAAACAACATGAAATTTAAATCCTCGTCAGTAAAGGCCAACTGGCCACAGAGGCAAAATTTGAACCTCATTAGAAGGACATGAATTCATCCAGGTTCCAACCAGGCAGGCCAAGTCCCACATCTCATCATTGGAATAATAGGGCTGTGGACCCAAGTCGAGATCCAAGGTGTAGTGGTTAGGGCATGAGGATTGCTTTGTATTTGGTCTTGTTTAGTAATGTGGTATTATTGGAACCCAACCTGAAAGTTACAGAATGTTATACGTTGAGCCACTAGAATTACGAAGAGAAGGCAAGCAACACAAAAATGGACAAGCCCTTGCCCCAACCTAAAGAAGTGTAAAATGCAACAACCCAAAATCAGAATTATGGGAATTGTCATGCTTCACTTAACCTCAAGAAACTGAGATTAGCTGGCCTGGGATTACGTAGCAAAATCCAAATTCCCTAGCCTGAGAGCCATGGCAACACTTCCTGCCCCCAGAATTATGAAGAGGATGTGGAACAAACTAAGTCCAGCTAATGGCACAGGAATTGATGCTCTGTAAGCAGAATTACGAGAAGTCAAGGACCCTCTTCAATGACCCTTACAATGAAGAGAATCACCAAAAAGAAAGGCCACACTCAACTCAAGAAGAGCGAAGAGTATCTCTGAATTGGAATTACAAGGAGGCTCCCGCATAGGCTGGTCCTGCTCCTTAAGTGTAATAATGGGTTCAAGCATCATTTAGAAAGCATAAACCTCTGTCCACCACTTCAGCATCTGGAAAGTGGGAGTGGTAAGGACTCTGATGCCCCACTAGGAGAAATGGGGGGATATTCACATTGGGGAGCCCCGAGGAACAATGCTCCAGAGACGGTGCAATAGGTGAACTACATTCCCTATTTTGAAAAGCAAACTGACCACGATTTATCCAATCTAGGGGTCAGCAGGCATGGGCAAAATCCCTTTAAACTTTAATCATAATAATCCAGGAGTGACAGTCCAGTAGTGTATTTTTCTTTATGTTATAATTATTTAACAATTGGAAAGCACAGAAGGAAGTCTTATGTACCACCCCATCTCAACAGAGGTTGTTGCTACCAGAAATTTTTGTTATCAGTCGACTGGTAGCTAGTGTGGATTTGAAAATAAGTATACCTGATCAGGCAACACCTGCCACTGAGTGGGATCCAAATGAAAATGATGAGAGGGTCACTGAAAAAGAATATAAATATACACAAAAAAAATGAAGTAATTCACCTCTCCTACAAACTAGCTGGGGCATGGAGAATAGCCAAGGGGGGTAGCTGAAAATAATGAGATATAAATGTATTAGGCATGGTCCACATACCAGTCTGTACAATCTCCTCCAGTGGGCAATGCAATTGAGCCAACAGGGACATTGAGAAATGGTGAATTTGATGATATGAGACTCCAAGAAGTCTCCATTCCTCCAATGAAAGCCCAGAGTAAGTAATACATACCAATTGCTGAACCAAAACTATCAAAGTGACAGGGGATAAGTCATGTGACACCTTAGGATCCAAATGGATAAACAAATGGTGACCTGAACCCCAAAACCCTAACATATCATTGAAGAGCCCAAAAAAAAAGCATAAAAGAAGATCAGTATCCGAGCGTTCATAACAATGAGAAAGGGAGGGAAGATGGGTAGGAGAGAAAGCCTTATTCCATTTTCTAGCCACTGAAGTTTTGGGAGAAAGGACCTATTGGGATGAACAGGAGATAAGTGTCCTGTAAATATGAATTGAAAACACATCTGAACATCGCTTTCTGCTAGCAAACAAGAAATAAATATACAGTACTGTGCAAAAGTGTTAGGACAAGAGAATATTTTGTAATTCTTTCCATTTTATGGGGCTAATTCTTCTATGCTATAACAGAATGTAAATTTCAACACTATTAATGCTTCACTGATCCCTGTTGATAATTGAATAAGACAGGGTGAAAATATTTATCATTCTTTAGAATTCACATATACTTGTACCAAGGGCATGTCATAAGGGTTCTACTTGAATGAACATACTGATCAAATTTAGGGTTTGAAATAACTATTATGGTACCCCATGCAGTGTCTTAACTATATAGAAAGAAGATAGCATATGGTACCAGTATATACTAGAATAAATCAATTTAATAGCACTCCACAAATAAACCTTGATAAAAACTGTGTTTAACACTATATTTTAGGTTTTTTTGTCATTTCACAGCCCAAAAAGCATAGAGAATTCTCAGTAGAGCAGAGAATTTGCATAAAAGATTTATGTGATGCTGGTTGGACTCTCCGACAAATTGCTTGAAATGTTCCACAAACACTGTCAAATATACCCTAGATCGTGAGACCAAGACAGGTAAATTTGAAAATAGGAAAGGAAGAGGCAGAACACCTAAACTCAATGATATTGATGTTAAGTATCTTCATTTATGAAGACTGCCACTGATCTCAAGCATGAGATAAACGACCATGTATCAAATGACAGAAAAGTGTCCAGAAATACAATATCAAGAAGATTCAATGAGAATGGAATATTTGGTTGTGTAGCAGTTAAAAAACCTTTACTCCGAGCTCCAAATATTGTCAAGCAAATAAAATTGGCTAAAAAGTACAAAAACTGGACTGTTGATGATTGCAAAATGGTGTTATGGATGGATGAGTCCAAGTTTGAAATATTTGGTTCAAAGTAGGTTGTACATCTGATGGGAGAAAGGTGAAAGATACTTACCTCAATGCATAGCACATACCATGAAGCATGGGGGAGGCAGTATGATGCTTTGGGAGTGTTTTGCTGTTGAAGCAACAGGAGACATTTTCAAAATAGATGGAATAATGGACCAGCACAAATACCATGAGATACTGATGGTATATTCAGTAGTTTACGTGTTATTGGTAAAGGATCTTACTACCAAGAAGATGATGACCCAAAACACTCACCCAACCTATGCAGAAATTGCTCAGGTAAGAAAGAAGCTGCTGGAGTAATTCAAATGATGCAATGGCCCCCACAGAGCCCCAATCTCAACCCAATTGAGCAGGTCTGGGATTTGATAGATCAAAAACTTGACAAATCAAAAGTTACTTTGGATAAAAGAGCTCGAGTTTGAAGTTCTGCCAAGTGGCAGGAAGGAGCAAGAATAAGCCAGTCATCCATATTATGGAGAGTGTGAATGCCCAATGAGTGAAAAGGATCTGACTATCCGGCAAAAGATGTATGGGGCAGATGTAAGGCTGAAAGGTAGAGCATGAAACTGAAAACCTGTCTCTCATGCACAAAATGGAGATAACAACGTGAAGACTGTGAGGTAAGATTCATTCTAAAGTTTAGATGGGCAGAGAAGAGAAAAGTTCATAGGGATAAAGCTGAAGGGTGAGAAGAGGTATGTTTCGGAATAAAAATTTTCATTAACATTGTTATTACAGTCATAAAGCTGAAACAAAAAATTGCTTTTACAAACTCTCAAATAAAGAGTTATTAAGGTATTAACATTAGAACACTGCTTGATACCACAAAGTTTATGATACAGTTTTATAACTGTGACAATGCTACAACACTACACTAATACTAAATACCAAGAATTTTCAGTTTCAGTGTTATTAATGTGTTAAAACTAAAACAGCAACAGTTAATGCTATTACTCTCCTAATATTGAATCAGCAGTTATAAGAAATGTTTGGGTCTTGAGTGTTAACATAAGAGAAAAGACTATTCACTGGTAATTTTTCTCAGGTAATTTTGAGACAATAACTCAAAATGTGATGTTTGACATACAAAAAAACTTAATTAATTTCAACAAAGACTGCATTTACTAAAGTCATAAGGTAAAAGAAAGAGCAGATCAAGATACATTTGAAATGAGTTAAAACAATTATTCAACATCCTGAGCTGTTTCATACCTACCCTCTCTTCTTCTCTAGCAGGGACTTGAAAGTAGAAATAAGCTCCAGGTAGGAAGTAGGTGTAACATAATTGTATCTCTGTAATTCACTAAGAAACCTGGCAGACAGAGCTTCAGTAGTGTTGTGTAAGTGCTTGCACATAATAATGCAACCTTCCCTTTCCTCAGGAGCTAGTTCAACATCTTCCAAGTACCGACTTGCAACAGCTTCCAAAGCATCTTCAGGCCAAGACTGGAAAAAAACTTATTGACTATAAAGAGAATTATTAGAAACACAAAGTACTTACTGTCTGGGAAATCCCAGTTAAAATTACATGAATGGGACATTATTTCAATACAACGAAAACAAAACACCTTCAAATAATGGTTACAAATATAAGATCTCAATCTAATGCACATTTTAAATTAACTATCTACACCCATGTATAATTAAACATAAATATATATATATACACTTTTATATCTTAATTCATCTTAATAGCAAATTAAAGGCTGAATAGGTCTTTCCTAAGTTAATATTCTAAGTAAGGTATTTTAGTAATAATATTATATTCATTTGAGCAAATATTATAGTACTCAACTTGTTAAACCTCAAGCTCATAAAATAGGATCTCTAACCATCTAATGAAGAAGTCAAACAGATCCTTGTTTACAAAAGGGACAAGGGACCTCATACACTTCATTTGATGCTTTTGGTTACTGTGTTTTGTTTTTTAAACTTGAAACTTTCTCATCTGCATTCAGGGTTAAGGATTATTTTCTAGTTTATATGTCAAAAACATTAAGAACCAGTCGTTCAGGTCTTTCTTGAGCTGCTACATCTGTCTACTGATAAAACTACATTTACAGAGTTTTATTATATCTCAATATACAGTAACTGCATAGAGATTATATGTATTGTTGCGTCATCAAGATCACGTGACTATTCTCACGCCCTCTAGTTTCTAGAACTATCCCGTACCTTGGCGAATGCTCTAGTATTTACTAGATAGGGTAGTCTGGTATATAAAAGAGGGTGACAACGTGACGGGAGAATAATGTAATGTAATGTGTGTGTAGATAGTGAGTAATTGAACTGCAGTCAGAAGTATTATTGACATTTGTTGATATAGCGTTTGCTTTAGC